TGAGGTTGTCTCTCTATTGTCAGAGTGGCTATTAATAGATGTAATTATATGCTGGAAGTCCAACCAGTTCATTTCTTTCAGTTCTGCAAGGATAGAAACATCAACCAGAGAGAGAGAGTAAACGAATATATGAAAAAAGTGCAAAAATTCTTTTTCTACCTTAAAAAAAGAAGCAGCATGGAACAGCTTCTTCTGCTTCACATTGTTCAATTAAAATCTAAATTTTAAAATGTCAAAGTATTTTTACTTGTTTTTTTTTTTAAAATCTATACAATGAAAATAACCACTTAAAAGATGTTTTTAAACAAGGGATGTTTCTTTTCTGTTTTCCTCAGTGGAAATGTTTGTGTTTTTTGGCTAGTCTTGTGATATTTGCTTGTTGTCTAGGTTTCTGTGATGCAGCTTAGATTGCATAACCAGTTTTACCTGCTGGAAGTTCCTGTTTGTCACTTGCTGTGAGTGAAACTAAGAGGAATGAGTTCCTGTTGCTGCCTCATGCAGTATCTGACAACTCAGAACCTTCTGAAATGCAGCATTTCTATTTGCTTGTTATGTTTTCAGAACTCTAGGAAAAGAATATGCACTGGGGAAATATAACTAATGCCATGGTTTAATGAAATATTCCACCTGAAAAAATATTCACTCTTACCCATCTTTGTGTGTTTTCTAATCTTAGTTTTAGCAGGCAATTTTGGTGATTATTTCCACAATGTCTTTACGCTCAATACAGCAAGGGGTTTTTTCATGTGTTCTTCAATTTTTCCACCAAAGGATCAAAATTGGAAGTGTAGGGGAAGACAGTACAGAATTAGGTGCTAGCAAGATCTCTCCATTACTATGCAGCAGCCTGGAGCCTCAAGCTTGACTTTTGGTTTGCATTTCCTCATTACAAATCTGCAGATAAAATAGCATGAGTTTAGCAGTGCTACCACTTTGGACTGGAACTTTCTATAAATCTGTTTGTGTTGTTATCTGTACCCTTAGTCCCTCTCTCTCCCTTTTTCTTGTCCAAGGAATATTTTGTGCCCTGACACAAGGCTACCCACTGATACAGAACAGCAGCTGTCAAGTGTCAAAGCAATGATGAGAGGGTGAGGTAGAGGGGGAAAATAAATGTTTCCTGTGCTTTTAATAATGTTGAAAACTTGTGTTGCTGTTTTATGACAACACTGCTCAGATTTGGGTACCTTGGCAGTTGAGACAAGGACAGAGCTATGTGTTTCCTTCACATGAAATAACATCCCGAGCTCCTGGCATGGTGAAGCATTTAGCAGCCACTCTTTGCATGTTGATTCAGGCCATGCAGCATATACTGCAATTCCTGGTAACATGTGTGAAGTGGAGGGGGAGGAAAAGTAGGAAACCACCTTGTACCTGCACACTTGGATGTGCCTGGGAGAGCAGAGTTCTCCCAAACAGCAGAGGAAAGAGCAGTTAACAGCATTTGTACAAATAACCTGCCTCTCTTTCACCCAAGTCTTCCAGGAGGCAGCTGCCAGTGGAAGTACCTAATATTTGCTTTGAGTTTTTCAGAGCTGGAAACCTGTGTCTATAATTTTTAATGTTCCAGCCACGAGAAGATCAAGTCATGTAAACCATAATTCCACTCTGTTCTGTAATTGCTGTTTACTTACAGATGCAAATTACAAAGAAGCATAATGAGAGCCATAGCTCTCCAATTTGTTTCACTTTAAACAAGCAAGCAAAAAAAAAAAAAATAGAGAGCCAAAGCAATAATCCTGTTTTCAAAAAAAAAAAAAGAGAGCCAAAGCAATAATCCTGTTTTCCTGTATGATTCAATACTGTTCAAACCTCTGCACATTAGATTTCATTGAAAACAGAATTAATTCCCATAGGCTTTAAATCAGATGATAAAACAAAGGAAAATGAATACACTCCATAGTTTTAAATCAGAAAGAAAGACTTTTTATACCCACAAGCAGTGGGGAAATCAGCATGTCAGGTTCATTAGTTTGGGGCATTTGAACACGTTTCTCTTCTCTTTGGTGCATTCAAGCCCTACATGCATAGTCCTAGCAAGGAATGCAACATGGGGAGAGAGAAATGAAACACAATTAGTGGGTGTATGTGGCAGAATGGCCCAAAGAAAATGGGAGAAGACACTGGAATCAGAATTCACCCCAGATATTGTTCAGAACTAGCTGCATTTGCATTAGAAAATGTGTACATGTTTTGCTTCTTTTTGCAGAGTAAAGGTTTTTCCAATTTGGTTTGAGTTGTTAAGCAAATACTCTAGGGGCTATAATATGCCCAGATACACTGGTATAATTAAATTGTTGTTCTACGAAAGTGGAGTTAAACAAAGATAAAAACAGCCTTAAAATGAACTGAATATTGTTTTCTGATCCTGTTATGGAAAATTGAAAGAATAACAAACTATTAAATGTTCTCCTGTCTGCTGTGCCACACCACTAGAATATATAGGATGTTGATAGGTATAGTCAAGGCAGTATTTTGTCTCTTAGAGAAGACCTTAGTACAGAATGACCTGATTAAAAAAGCCAACCCAAACCAAGGACCAGTATAGATAATGAAAAGCTTGCAAGTTACCTAGATAAATTATTTTGTGTTATTTCAGCTCTGAGAAATATCATCTTTATTTGGACAAAGGAAAGTTGAACTAATTATGTGTTTTGTAGGTCACTTCTCAAGAATCTGGAACCAAACCATTGACCTTCACGTTTGTACCATCCATTGGACGACTTCCAACTCATTTTGAGGTTGTGGATATCTCTAAGTTCCTTGTGACAATCCCAGAGGACCCAAAGGATCTGAGCCATCAAGAAATTGTAAATAAGGTAGATTAATTTTCCTGCTCTTTCAAAAGAAACAGAAAAGTTCATTCTGAGCATTGCTGAACTGAAGCTCTTTACCTTGAATGGTTTCTTGGCTTGTCAATTACCAAGATGTAGAATCATTGTGCAAGAGAAGGCTGATGCCTGCTCAATAGCTTGTTTTGCCTTTGGCAGAGCTTATATTGGAAAGGAACCCTTGCCCTTCTCAATACTGTCCTCTGTCAGTCATGCAATGCTATATTCTTGGCAGACAAGGGGGGATTCCTTCCTGATCTTCATGACAGCAAGGGTGGTGTGTGAGGAGTGTAATCACATGGGAAACCACCAAGAGTTGCTTACTGGATCCTGATTTCAGCAAGTGCCAGTGCTGTGGCTTCCAGCAAAGGTGCCAATCCCTTTCATAGCTGCATAGTAATGCATGAAAGTGGAAGCTTTTTATTTTTGAAAGCTTGTCCCTGTGATTTCCTGCGAAGGTGAAGTCAGCAGCACAACATTCCTGACTCTTCTTCCTTTAGTCAACCCACAGTGTTGCTATTCCTTTCCTGCCCCATAACGTTTAATGGCCTCTGATTTTATTCCATGCTGCTTGAAAGGCTATTGCAACCCTCAGGTTAATATTAACACTTATGGTAATTCTGCTCTAGTGTAACAGCTCCTTCCCTGGGACACTGCTGGGACTGCAGTGCTGGGTGCTCTTCAATGTAATAAAGTTTTCATAGGAGTTCACAACCCTCTGACCTGAACATGCTCCAGCATTTTCAGTGCCCTATCTACCTAAAACAGGCTTAGGTCTGGGCAGAGAATGGATGTTTGAAGAGACATTCACTGGAATATTACCCTCAGGATGTTTAATTCATTAGTTACATTTCTAGCCACTCAGTATTGGTTTGGCTGCAAGCAGCACCCTGGGTAAAGCAGAATCAGATCTTCCTGTCATCCATCATAGCAACCTTCCAGGATCTGAAGGGGCTCCAGGGAA